GCAGCATGAAGGTGACATGGATGGCAGCATGAAGGTGACATGGATGGCAGCATGAAGGTGACATGGATGGCAGCATGAAGGTGACATGGTTGGCAGCATGAAGGTGACATGGATGGCAGCATGAAGGTGGCATGGATGGCAGCATGAAGGTGACGCGTGCGCTGCACCTCCAACTCTCATTCTCCTGCTCTGCCTCAAGCAAGCTGCTCTGCCTCAAGCAAGCTGCTCTGCCTCAAGCAAGCTGCTCTGCCTCAAGCAAGCTGCTCTGCCTCAAGCAAGCTGCTCTGCCTCAAGCAAGCTGCTCTGCCTCAAGCAAGCTGCTCTGCCTCAAGCAAGCTGCTCTGCCTCAAGCAAGCTGCTCTGCCTCAAGCAAGCTGCTCTGCCTCAAGCAAGCTGCTCTGCCTCAAGCAAGCTGCTCTGCCTCAAGCAAGCTGCTCTGCCTCAAGCAAGCTGCTCTGCCTCAAGCAAGCTGCTCTGCCTCAAGCAAGCTGCTCCCGTGCACTCGTTGTCTTGGTCTCTCACCATCGCCTGTGAGGGTGCCTGTGGAGCACCCCTGTCACTGTCATCAGAATGGATGCTGGCATCAGAATGGATGCTGGCATCAGAATGGATGCTGGCATCAGAATGGATGCTGGCATCAGAATGGATGCTGGCATCAGAATGGATGCTGTCATCAGAATGGATGCTGGCATCAGAATGGATGCTGGCATCAGAATGGATGCTGGCATCCGAATGGATGCTGGCATCAGAATGGATGCTGGCATCAGAATGGATGCTGGCATCAGAATGGATGCTGGCATCAGAATGGATGCTGGCATCAGAATGGATGCTGGCATCAGAATGGATGCTGGCATCAGAATGGATGCTGGCATCAGAATGGATGCTGGCATCAGAATGGATGCTGGCATCAGAATGGATGCTGGCATCAGAATGGATGCTGGCATCAGAATGGATGCTGGCATCAGAATGGATGCTGGCATCAGAATGGATGCTGTCATCAGAATGGATGCTGGCATCAGAATGGATGCTGGCATCAGAATGGATGCTGGCATCAGAATGGATGCTGGCATCAGAACATCAGAATGGATGCTGGCATCAGAATGGATGCTGGCATCAGAATGGATGCTGGCATCAGAATGGATGCTGGCATCAGAATGGATGCTGGCATCAGAATGGATGCTGTCATCAGAATGGATGCTGGCATCAGAATGGATGCTGGCATCGGTTCGTTAACACTCCACCAACTCTTCTTGTCTCCTTCTCTTTCCCATCCCTCCATTCGTTTTCCATCTCTTCCTCATCCTTTCTCATTCCCATCCTCTGATTCCCATATTCCATATCTCACGCATCCCTTATCCACTTCCCTTATTCCGCCCAACCTGAACCTATGTCATATTTCCCTTATCCCTGATTCCCCTGTTCCTTGATTCCCCTTATTCCCCCCCCTCCCCCACCTCTTATTCCCCCCCCCCACCATCATATCTTACCGATCTCTTATTCTCCTTGTCCCTTATCCCCCCCTTTTCCGCATCCCCATTGTACCTTATTCATCCCTTGCTTTTCCCCATTTCCCCATCTTCTACCATCCCCCTATTCCCCCTCCCCACCCCCCCCACTCGTCCGCAGGTGTGGGACGTGCGCAAGTTCAAGCAGCCAGTGAGGGCGCTCTGGGACCTGCCGAACCACTACCAGCAGACCAACGTGGCGTGGAGCCTACTTTTGAGACGTCCCAAAAGTCAGCCCCCCCGCCCGTCCCCCCCCCTCGTCCGCAGGTGTGGGATGTGCGCAAGTTCAAGCAGCCAGTGAGGGTGTACGCGGACCTGCCGAACCACTACCAGCAGACCAACGTGGCGTGGAGCCCCGACGAGCGCCTCTTCTTCACCGGCACCTCTGCAGAGAAAGGCGGGCGCGGCGGGCAGGTGAGGGTGGGGGGAGAGAATGAGCGCAGGCGGGTGGTGTTGGAGAGACGAGGAGTTGAGCGAAAGGAAGGTGACAGGCAGGCAAGGTAGCTCAGGGCTGCATGCAGAAATCTCCGTACTCCTTATTGGAACGCAAGCTGGGGTGGTGCATGGTGAGTTAGCGCAGGAAGAGAAGAATATTCAGGAATGGAGAGGGTGAGGAATGGAGAATATTCAGGAATGGAGAGGGTGAGGAATGGAGAATATTCAGGAATGGAGAGGGTGAAGAATTCAAAAATATTCAGGAATATTCAGGAATGGCGCCTTAAATCTCCGGTAGTCTCGTCTCCACCATTCTCTCACCCTGCCCTCCTAACTTCACCTCTTGCACCTTGCTGTTTTCCTGCTCTAGCTGCTCGTCTATCTCCTCCAGCTAGTGTGGGTGCGTGCATGTTGTGGGGGATGGATTCCCTCGCATCACTGTGCCATCCTCCTCGCACTCGTCTTGGTCCGCTCAAAGCGGGTGCATGGCTCAGCAGCTGGAGATTGCCACGAGGCAACCTTGAACCGGGCTCTGTCACATTGATCAACATGTAAAGAAGACGTGTACTTCATTTCAAAGTCTTTGTAGGGTATGAGCCCTATGGAACTGATTCTCAACTGAATCCAACGCCAGGACAGCTAGCATAGCATTCATTTGCCAGTTTCGCAACGCTGCCATGCTTATTTTGTCTTCCCACCCCCCGCCCCACGCGCATCCCATGTGTCGTGACATGTGGCCTCACCTCACCTCACCCCATACAGCTGCACTTCTACTCCAAGGAGTCGCTTGACCTTGTGCGCGCATTGAGGTGTATTTTGAGGCGCCTCAAAATTAACATGTGGCCTCACCTCACCTCACCTCACTTCACCTCACCTCACCTCACCTCACCCCATGCAGCTGCACTTCTACTCCAAGGAGTCGCTGAACCTCGTGCGCGTCACGGGCGTGTCCCCCGACCAGAGCGTTGTGCGCGTGCTGTGGCACGCACGCCTCAACCAGGTGGGTGCTGTTGCACGCACGCCTCAACCAGGTGGGTGCTGTTCTCTCCCATCTCTACCGAATCGATACTGCTTCCTACCTCACTGTCACTTCTTTCATGTTTTCATCTCCTTCCTTTCCCATCAAGTCCATCTCCCCATTGGTTTCTCACCACAAGAGCCAACAGCCGCCAGGTAAAACCCATGGCAACCCCAACCCTTATCTCATGTGCGACCGTTTTCATCTGCCCCTTCCCCTCATGAACCCGCCCCCCCCCCCCACCCCCCCCCCCCCCCCTCGCCCAATTCCACCAGATATTCGCCACATGTGGCGACAAGAAGGCGGGCGGGACGCACATCCTCTACGACCCCACGCTCAGCGAGCGCGGTGCGCTGGTGTGCGTGGCGCGTGCCCCCCGCGCGCCGCGCCCCGAGGACCTGTGTGCGCGCGTGGCGGCGCCTGCCATCCGCAACCCGCACGCGCTGCCCATGTTCCGCGACGAGCCGAGCCGCAAGCGGCAGCGCGAGAAGGCGCGCAAAGACCCCGTGGCGAGCCAGCGCCCCGACCTGCCCATGGAGGGACCGGGGCACGGCGGGCGCGTGGGGCAGACAAAGGGCACCCTGCTCACCCAGTACCTGCTCCGCGTGCGTGCTGCCGCCTGCTGCTTGCTGCCGCCTGCTGCTTGCTGCCTGCTGCCTGCATGCTTCGTTGTGCTGCTCTGGCAGTTATTGCTGGACTTTTTTGGAGCATTAGAATGGATGCTGGCAGTAGTTCACAGCCCGAGAACGACTGCTAGGAGAGCAAGCTTCCCTTTTCATGACTTCCTCTCTTCTCCTGAATCCCTTCCTCATGTCCCCAACCACTTCCCGCCTTGTAAACCTTTCCCACGTGTGCGTGCATTGCTTGGCAGGAGGGCGGGCTGCTGAAGGAGACGTGGATGGAGGAGGACCCGCGAGAGGCCATCCTCAAGTACGCCGACGCGGCCGCCAAGGACCCGCAGATCATCGCCCCCGCCTACGCTGCCACGCAGCCCACCACGCTGTTCCACGAGTCCGATGACGAGGACAAGGACTAGCGCTCAGTCAGTCGCTGGCACACACTCCAATGCGCTCAGTCGCGCATCTCCTCTTTCCACTGACATGGAGGTTTGGGATTCACGTCAACACTGAGCAGTCATAGATTAGCCAAGAGTCGAGCAAAAACGGTGGTTTTTATCATCAACAACACAAGGGAGAATCTCAAGTGCGTAGCCTTCGGTTTGGAGTGGCATTTCTGGATAACGTACCTGCATTTGAGTGTACATGGCACTGCATTGCCAATCCATTCTGGATTAAACATTAATTCTAAAGTATGCAGAACAAAGGCTTCAACGTTTTACATTATATAAGAGTTAGCTATATCAAGATGGTTCCTACAGCAATTGGGTGTCATGTTGCTACTTTCAAGCTATTCCCACATCACTCAAGCCTGGAGCCATCTGTCAGGGGCGCTCAAGCCTGGATGATGACGGTATGCGGTGTTTTGCAAGATGTTGTACCTACCATACTTCAGAGACTTGAGTATATGAGCCCCTAGGGGCGTCTGCCTGGTCGATTACGGTTACGGTAATCTTGCGTAACATTTTGTACAGTGAATGTACACATAATAGGTATGCACAAAGGTGCTGTATCCCGATGAATAAAGAAAGAACCAATTAGACGGAACAATGCGTGAGCAACTGCAAGCTGGGGCAAAGAGCACCACTCTAAAGCTCTGAGAACGCCACATCCATACAGTCCACGAGGAAGTCTGTGAGGGTAGGGGGCAGGAACAAAAAATGAGAGTTAACCTGAAGAGACAAATCGAACACGATGTGCATGGAAAGGGGACCATACTGGAAGCAAACTGACCCTGAAACACCTCATCGGTGCTGATTATAGAGAGTGCGACACGCATGATGTGCACTCCCCTTGCCATCTCGCTCTCCCCCTGCCATCTTGCTTCCCCCCTGCCATCGCACTCTCCCCCTGCCATCGCACTCTCCCCCTGCCATCGCACTCTCCCCCTGCCATCATACCCTCCTCCTATCAGGTGCATGGTTTTCATGAGGTGCGTACCAGCATCGGCCGTGGTGAAGCACATGGGTGGCTTGATGCGGAAGACATTCCCGTAGTGCCCTCCCTTGCCCACCAGCACGCCCAGATCTGCCGCACATGGGATACGGCAGGAGGACACATGCGGGAGAGGCAGCGCATGGGGTAGAGGCAGCGCATGGGGCAGAGGCAGTGCATGGGGAAGAGGCAGTGCATGGGGTAGAGGCAGTGCATGGGGAAGAGGCAGTGCATGGGGTAGAGGCAGTGCATGGGGTAGAGGCAGTGCATGGGGTAGAGGCAGTGCATGGGGTAGAGGCAGTGCATGGGGTAGAGGCAGTGCATGGGGTAGAGGCAGTGCATGGGGTAGAGGCAGTGCATGGGGTAGAGGCAGTGCATGGGGTAGAGGCAGTGCATGGGGTAGAGGCAGTGGAGAATTCCTTGGCAGGGCAGCAAGAGACCGCACGAACAGTATCCTCCCCTGCCCAGCCATCCTGCCCACCACTGTACCCACCAGCCGTACCCACCAGCCGTACCCACCAGCAGTACCCACCAGGCCTGCCCAGCAGCACAGGGATGGCGCACTGGCTTGTGAGAATTCCCTCAAGGCATCCCTTTGAAACGGGTCTGAGAAGCACGCAGAGGTTTGAATTCAATGATCCACCTGGGTACAACACGAGGCTATATATAGTCTCGACACAAGGCCAGTTACCCAGGTGTTACGCGAATGTTCTGAGGGTCGCGAAGCGCCCCGGACAGAACCTTCCCGAACTCAGTAGAAAGCAATTCGGTGGAAACCGAATAGGCTTGAGTTCGGTACACGTAACTTGGTTCGGTGCTATAACTATAATTAAGTATAGGAATGCACCTAACCTAGGAAATCAAGCATATCTATGCATGATAAAATAAACCCAAGCTAGATATAGCATAATAAAGTCCAGGCAAGCTAGCAAAGCCAGCATAAGCCGTCGCACTCTCACAATAGTGACCCGTCTCCCTGACTCTCTTCGCTCAGTCAGGGACCACTTTCTCCCTCGCTCTCCCACCAATCTCACTGTCGACCTCCTAGAGGAGCAGCTTCTAGCCGCCGAGACTAGCATAGTCACTGTAGGTGCTGCTCGTGGCGCTCCTCGCACCTCCATCTTTGAGGGGTGCTCTCCCTCTCCCCTCGCCCCCTCCTACGCTACTGCCGCTGCTGTTGACTACCTTGGTGCTGAGTCTGTTGGTGCTGCTTCTACTCCTAGTGGGAGGCGCCGCAGCGGCAAGGGCAAGGGGGCCAAGGGTAGCGGAGGTGGCACCGGGGGGGGTGGTGGTGGAGGAGGTGGAGGAGGAGGTGGTGGCGGAGGGAGTGGTGGCGGGAGTGCTGGCGGGAGTGGTGGCGTCGGTGGCGGCGGTGGGAGTGGCGGTGGAGGCGGTGGTGGCGGAGGGGGTGGCGGCGGCAGTGGCGGCGGTGGTGGTGGCCGGGGCGGCGTTGGCGGCGGCGGTGGCGGTCGGGGCGGAGGCGCTGGCGCTGGTCAGAGACAGCAGCAGCTGTAGCGTCCCCGTGAGGCACTAACGCCGCAGCAGCTTCGTGAGTGGCTTGCTCAGCATGGGACGTCTGGGGGTAGTGGTCGCTGCCCGTATGTCATTCGCACAGGTGACCGCGCTGGTCAGACATGCGAGAAGTTCCACACTCAGCACCACTACTTCTCCCGCCTTGACGACGCCTGGCGTGAGGAGATGGTCGAGGAGGTCGAGCGCCCTCGCTGGCATGAGTTGCTTAGGGCTGGTGTAGACATCTTTGCTCTTGACTATGATGCTATCCTTGCTGCCATGTATGCATTGACTGTTAGTGCTGAGGGAGACTGTTACTTGTGTGTGCCGCCTGACCCAGGTATAGAGGCTGCTGCCTTACGTGCGAGCGAGTCTGCTCTCTCAAGTACTACGCCTGCTGAGGCCTTGCACACCTTCATGCTTGACTCAGGTGCTTCCCGCTGTTTCTTTCGTGACAGGGTTGCACTCACACCACTCACTGCACCTGTTGCAGTCTCTCTGGCTGACCCCTCAGGGGACCCAGTTCTTGCACGGTCCACCACTGTGCTCCCGTGCCCGGCGGTTCCGTCTGGCTCACTGACAGGCTTCCACCTCCCCTCGTTCTCTACGAACTTGGTGAGCAACGCAATTCTCCAGGACCAGTGGGTTGACACCTTTATCCCTGGAGGACAACGTGTGGCGATCTGTACGTGCTCCCGGACTGGCCGCCCCCTAGCCACGTCTACCCGTCGGCCAGGGTCGAGTCTTTACACACTAATGACTGCGCCTCCTCAGGTCACTGCTACCGGTCAGGTGTCAGCTCCTTGTGTCTGGTCTTCCCAGGTCTCTCCCTCCCCTCCCTGCCTCGCCTGCGCCGCCCTGCCTTCCTTGCGTCGAGGGGTGGCAGCGCGCCGCTCCTCACTCCTCCTCGTTTCCCCCGACAGAGGCTCCCCTGCAGACCCTCCACATGGACGTGTGTGGCCCAGCCCGCGTTCGTGGACAGGGCGGTGCGCGGTACTTTCTGCTGTTGTCGACCACTACTCGCGTTACACCACGGTCTTCCCCTTGCGCACCAAGGGTGAGGTCCCTGATGTCCTGATCCCTTGGATCCGAGCAGTTCGTCTCCAGCTCCGCGAGCGGTTCCGCCAGGACCTCCCTGTCCTGCGTCTGCATTCTGACAGAGGTGGTGAGTTCTCCTCCGACCTCTTGCGGGCCTTCTGTCAGGGGGAGGGCATCCTCCACTCGTTCATGCTTCCGGCCTCACCGCAGCAAAATGGGGTTGTTGAGCGCCGCATTGGCTTGGTCATGGAGATCGCTCGTACCTCCTTGATCCATGCGGCAGCTCCCCATTTTCTGTGGCCGTTTGCGGTCCGGTACACCGCACAGCAGCTCAACATCTGGGCCCGTGTCTCCTTGCCGGAGACTTCGCCGACACTGCGTTGGACGGGAGAGGTTGTCGATGCGTTGGTGTTCCGGGTCTGGGGTGCTCGTGCCTTTGTCCGCGATACGTCCGCGGACAAGCTCTCCTCTCGCACCCTGCCCTGTGTCTTCCTCGGCTTCCCCACTGACGCGCCTGGCTGGTAGTTTTACCACCCCACCTCGCGAAGTGTTCTGTCCTCTCAGGACGTCACCTTTGACGAGTCGGTTCCTTTCTACCATCTCTTCCCCTACCGCACTGCCCCTCTCCCTCCCCCGCCGCTTTTCCTCGCTCCAGGTCCCCCTCCGGTAGACCCCCTCCCTCCTCAAGGTCCTGCTCCTTCATGTGTGTCTCAGGTAGACCCACTCCCCTTGGCTGAGCCTGTGGAGGTCACTAGCGACTCAGGTGCTGCTGCGGGTGGTGCTGCTCGGGGTGCTGCGTCTGGGGGTGTTGAGCCTGTCCGTAAGGTGCTGGGGGGTGCTGCGTCTGGGGGTGCTGAGCCTGGGGGTGCTGAGCCTGGGGGTGCTGAGCCTACTAGTGCGGAGCCTGGGGGTGCTGAGCCGGAGGGTGCCGGGTCTGGGGGTACTGAGTCTGCTGGTGTTTCTCCGGGTCGCTTTTCACGACGAGGGCCTCTCTCACCACAGCAGCTATGAGAGTGGCTTGCGTGGCTTGCCCGCCTTAGGAGTCGTGCTGCTGGAGCTGGAGGTTCTGCTGCTGGAGGTACTGCTGCTCGAGGTACTGCGGTTGGAGCTACTGGAGCTGCTCGCCGTGGAGGCACTGAGGGTGCTGGTGTTTCTGGTTCAGGAGGTGCTCGTACTGGAGGTACTGGAGCTGCCAGGACTAGTGGTACTGCTGGAGCTGGTAGTGCTGGTTCTGGGGGTGTTACTGCTGGTGGCACTGGAGCTGGTGCTGTCGACCCTGGAGTTGGAGACCCTGGAGCTGGGGTTGCCGGTGCTGGAGACACTGGAGCTGGAGACCTTGGAGCTGGAGGCGCTGGAGCTGGAGGCGCTGGAGCTGGAGGTTCTGGCACTGGAGGCGTCGGGGCTGGTGGCCCTGGAGCTGGAGCTGCTGGTCCTGGAGGTGATGGTTCTGGAGGTGCTGGAGCTGCCCGAGCTGGTGGCACTACGGGCGCTGGAGCTGGAGGCGCTGGCGCTGGAGGTGCTGGAGCTGGAGGTTCTGGAGATGCTGGTAGTGCTAGAGCTGCTGGTCCGGGAGGTGCTAGTACTGGAGGTCCTGGCACTACCGGAGCTGGTGGTGCTGCTGGTGCTGGAGGTACTGGTGGTACTGCACAGCAGCGACTGTTCTTCGCTCCACCGTCACCGCCGTCTCTGCCGCCGCCTGACTCAGCGCTTCGCCAGGTTCTTAGCCTCCTGTCTTCTACTGGTCTTCAGTTACAGCCTGGCTCCTCACTGCCTGCTCCCTCTCCTTACACTGAGCAAACAGGAGGTCTTACTGAGCGTCGTGAGCCTGCGTCTCGTCCTGCCTTGCCTGTTCGCGCTGGTCGCACTGGTCGTTGAGTTCCTCATGAGCGTCCTCCTCCTGTCCTCGGCACGCACACTATGGCACTTCGTCCTTCCTCTGTTCCACAGCGTGTCCCTCTGCCTTCTCCTCATGCGTCCTCCCTTGCTGACGGTCCGGACCCGGAGTCTGACTCACTTCGTGCTGCCAGCCCTACTGTCACGCGTCTTCTAGCTACTGTTGTCACTGACCCTTCCTTTGAGTCCACTGTTGCGTCTGCCTTAGTTGCTGAGCTTGTCGACTTTGCTGCACGCTGTCGTCTCAACTACGCCACTAGTCTTGTTGCTGAGTCTGAGTCTGTCTGTCCTCCGTCCGTCGGGGGTGACTGTGCTCTTGGCACGGATGTCCTTGAGGACAGGCAGGAGGACTTTGAGTGCTTTGCGGCCGCTGTACCTCATCTCGTGTCCATGCTGATTGCACCTGAGGGAGACCCGGATGCACCAGACATCCCGACCCCGCGCTCTTACGCAGAGGCGGTTGAGGGTCCCTACTCCTCTCAGTGGCAGTCCGCCATGGATGCAGAGATGGCATCCTGAAAGTCCACAGGCACTTACGTCGACGCTGCTCCCCCACCTGGGGCGAACATCGTCAGTGGCATGTGGATTTTCAGGGTGAAGCGACCGCCAGGTTCTCCGCCTGTTTTCAAGGCACGTTACGTTGCACGAGGTTTCAGTCAGTGACAAGGAGTTGACTTTTTCCAGACCTTCTCCCCTACCCCGAAGATGACCACTCTTCGGGTTCTGCTGCACGTTGCCGCTCAGCGTGACTACGAGCTTCACTCTCTTGACTTCAGCACAAATTTCCTACAGTGGACTACGACACACTAAGGACGACGCTTTCGGCTCTTGGGTTTGCTCCTTCGACTGCTGACCCGTCGCTGTTTCTGCGCACCGACACTTCGCTGTCGCCGTTCTACATCCTCGTGTACATTGACGACTTGGTCTTTGCCACTGCTGACACTGAGGGACTCGCCCACGTGAAGTCAGAGCTGCAGAAGAGACACACGTGCACAGGCATGGGAGAGCTGTGCAGCTATCTTGGATTGCAGTTCACCCAGGACAGAGCACGGCGCACCATTACCCTGACTCAGTCACCCATGGTGCAGCAGGTCCTTCAGCGCTTCGACTTCACGTAATCCTCGCCACAGTCCACTCCTCTGCCTACCGGTCACTCGCTCTCAGCTCTGCCTTCGGATGAGTCTGTAGAGCCGAGTGGCCCGTATCCAAAGCTTGTGGGCTGCCTCATGTACCTGTAACCTGCACTCGTCCTGACCTTGCTTACCCTCTTAGCATCTTGGCATGCTAAGTTACGCCCGGGAGACACCGACCAGAGCACTGGAAGGCCGCTAAGAGGGTGATGCGCTACTTGTGCAGTACGTCGGGCATGGGGCTCGAGTTGTCCTCACTGGTCACGCTGACGCTTCTTGGGTTGACGACTTGGCTTCGCAGCGGTCGTCACAGGGTTACACCTTTAGTCTTGGCTCCGGCTTTGTTTCGTGGCGGTCTACCCGCTCGTCCTCTGTTCTCAGTTCCAGTTGTGAGGCTGAGATCTACGCAGGGGCCATGGCTGCACAGGAGTTTCGCTGGCTCACCTACCTGCTGACCGACTTGGGAGAGGCGCCTCGTTCTCCTCCAGTTCTGTACGTTGATTTCCTTGTGTCAGGAGCACAGACTTGAGCATAGGACGAAGCACATCGCTCTGCGTTACTTCCTTGCTCGAGAGTTGCAGCAGCGTGGACAGCTTCGCCTTGCTTACGTGGCCTCTCGGGCCAACACCGCTGATATCTTCACTAAGGCACTTCAGCCTTGTGATCATTAGCGATTCTGTACTGTGCTGGGACTTGTGCCTACTTGGCCTCACTTGCTCACCTCGTGACTTTGCTTGTACTGTGATCTATATTGTATACTAGCATGCCTACTCCTGCTAGGTGGTGATCACTGTACTGTTGTTGTTGCATATAAACCTCTGCATGTGAACTGGCCTTGTGGCCCTTTGCTTGTGCTCGGAGTGTGTGGTGGCGTTGTGATCCACCCTGAGCTTGCTTTGCTCTTCTTGACTGGTCTTGTGACCGCTTGTTCTCTCCCACTTTGCCTATGGGGGTGTGAAAAACTATATGTGTGCTAGTTCTGTGTAGGCTATAGTGGGGTAGCCTGTATAGGGTACAACCCAATGTTAGGGTTAGTACTTGTACCCACAATGCTTTCAATGCAATCATTCTAGCGTCTAATCTTGACATATCTCACTCGGTATGACGATGTTTTCGAATGTTGCTTTCTTATGGTTTTTGCGTTTATTGTTTCCTTTA